CATTTTCCTATTCTATTCTATTCTATTCTATTCTATTCTATTCTATTATTCTATTCTATTATTCTATTCTATTCCTTATTCTATTCTATTCCTTCCAATATTCTATTCTATTCCCTATTCTATTTCCTATTCTATTCCCTATTCTATTCTATTCCTTATTCTATTCTATTCCTTCCAATATTCTATTCTATTCTATTCTATTCTATTCTATTCTATTCTATTCTATTCTATTCTATTCTATATTCTATTCTATTTCTTATTCTATTCTATTCCTTCCAATATTCTATTCTATTCTATTCTCTATTCTATTCTATTCTATTCTCTATTCAATTCTATTCTATTCATTTTTGACTCTATTCTATGCTGTCCAGAGTCACTGTGAGTTGAGCAGCTGTGTCAATTTTCTAAAGAAACAAATAAATAAAGTTCTTCCTTCTTTCTACTCCCAAGCCCTGCCCTCAACCATCTCGGCCTTTTCACATGAGCTTCGCACCTGGAATAGTCTGTAGTGTTGATGTAGGACATCATTCACCAGTTCTTGGGTGGCCCTTTTCACAGCCTGCTCACTGCAGAAGAGGATAGGCGAGAGATGCGACAGAATCATTCGCCGGTTCCCTGCAGCACACAAAGAGAGAAGGAGGCGAAGGAGGACATGTAGATGCTAAAGACACAAATACACCACTTCATGTAAGAGGGATGAATCGGTGAGTGTGTTTCTGGCCTGCAAATATGGGGGTAAATGGGAAGACTAAACCTCTGGTCCCAGTGATCAACACTGATTGGATCTTGCAACAAAATTCCTTTCAGTTCCTGAGAATTACAAATCATTGGCTGGATTTTCCCATGCATTACCCCTTTGCGAATTCACTTGTCGTACCACTAATTTATTCATGCTAGAACCAAGGAGAAATTTCCTGACAGTCCGAACAATTAAACAGTGGAACAGCTTGCCACCAGAAATTGTGGCTGTTCCAACACTGGAAGTTTTATAGAAGAGACTGGAGAGGCATTTGTCTGGGATGGTATAGGGTTTTCTGCCTAAGCAGGGGGTTGGACTAGAAGACCACAAGGTCCCTTCCAGCTCTTCTATTCTCTTCTATTCTATTCTCTTCTATTCTATTCTATTCTAGTCTAGTCTAGTCTAGTCTAGTCTAGTCTAGTCTTTTCCTTATTCTATTCTATTCTATTCCCTATTCTGTTCTGTTCTATTCTCTTCCTTATTCTATTCCTTATTCTATTCTATTCTATTCTATTCTATTCTGTTCTGTTCTGTTCTGTTCTGTTCTGTTCTGTTCTATTCTATTCTATTCTATTCTATTCTATTCTATTCTATTCTATTCCTTATTCTATTCTATTCTCTATTCTATTCCCTATTCTATTCTCTACCCTGTTCTGTTCTATTCTATTCTATTCCTTTATTCTCTTCTCTTCTCTTCTCTTCTCTTCTCTTCTCTTCTCTTCTCTT